CTGCCTTTCAAAAAGAGTTCATTTAAAATAGAGTTGAGTTAATTATGTCCATTAATCTCATTACCTTTGACCTTCTATTTCACTGGCCTACTTTGATTCATTTTCAGAGGAAATCCTTTTTTACATTGATCTCTTTACTCTTATTCCACTCTGGCTTGTCTTCCTCCATTAGTCTTTCGCTCGCTCCCCCATGCTGTCCTTTTTAAGATGGTTGGTATTGATTTGCTGGCTGACGGAGCTGCATTCGGCTCTTTTTTTCTGATTGGTATCTCAGCTCCTTGAGAGGATTGTTCATTCTGATCGTGCGGTTCTTCTGCAATAAAGCATGTGACCCGTTCATGTCAAAATATACCAGATCATATTCTCAGTAAAAGGCCAAATAATGAAAGTAAAGGATAGTATGCGCTTAATGATGAAAAGCACTTAAGATGCACTAATGAAAGTGTAGGAGCCCATTCGAAGACATTTTAATAACTTAATAGTGGCAGACTGCTGGGGCTTATCTGTGTGTAACTTAACCCCGCTACAGTCAATGTTGAAATAATAATGTCATTAGGGTGCATTTACAAACTGCCTAACAGAAATATTGCATGTCACTCGAGACATATATTAATGAGAGAAGACCTATGGCTTGCTTCAGGCAAAGGCTGAACCATCTGAAATCCTAATGATCCCCTTTTAACTTCTCTACTGTTATAAACTACTCTTACTGTTGTATATTGAAATGGTCACTTAGCATTATCACACCACTCTTATCCAATCACTAAAGATTTTCAGCCAGTAGGAGGATGTTGCTTTAGCCTCAGCAGCGGTATCTGATGTGCCTCGAACCTCATAATGTACTGAAGCACTCTGTCTGTCCATCAGGGTGTCCACAGGGACCCAGACATTGGCTGATTGCTAAAATGGAGGAGCTTTTCTAACAGTGTACCACTCTGTGCAAGACACTCCCAGCTCAGACACACCGCCGCTGCGTCCCAGTGCTTTTAAAGTGTTGTCCCTGGCCTGTCTTACTGCCTTCAAGCTCACTGATCTGAGATAACTAGGCAGTGGGAAGCAATGGAGTGGAAGCCCACCATGTTTTTCAGGTAGTGTCACTGCTGTCTTGTTTCCTTTTTACTTGCCTAAATGATGAGGGAGATGGGAAACTGGAACTCATTCATTTTTTAATTTGTTTCACCTTTATATTTCATAGCTCCTTGGGTCTCCATTGTCACAATTTTCCCATAACCCCATGAAACTAAAATAGCTAATAGAATCTTAAAGGCATAGTTCAGGGGAAAATGAAACGTCTGTAAGCATTTACTCACTCTCATATTGTTGTATGACTTTCTTTGTTTTTAAGACACACAAAAGGAGATATTCTGAAGAATGTTTTTGTTCATACAATGTCTAAAACTACGGAAGTCTTAAGAGGCCATGGATTATGATTATTTTTCTTGTTTTTTCGGGATCATGACTTAATTATCTCATGATCACAACATGACAAGTTGTTTTCTTGTGATCCCGTTCTCGTGATAACGAGAAAACAACTTTTGTAATGTCGTGATCACAAGAAAATGAGAAAGAAAAATAATCATAATCCATGGCCTCTTAAGACTTCCGTACTAAAACAGCACTGGACCCCATTGGAATTAAATATATACTGTATATATATATATATATATATATA